TGTATTGTACATATGTTAGACCAAATTTAGAGTTTTCAATTCAAGCATGGAGTCCATATTATACAAAAGATGTTAATGAACTAGAAAAAGTCCAACGAAGAGCTACCAAAATGATACCGGAGCTTAGACATCTTGAGTACAAAAAAAGATTGGAAATTTTGGGTTTGACTACTTTGGAGACTAGAAGGCTAAGGTGCGATTTAATCCAGCAATTCAAAATATTTAAAGGTATTGAAATCATTGATATTAAACAAAATCAAACAATGAACTCTATTTGCTCATCAGGTCCTGCAGCTAACATTAGAGGAGCAAAACATCGAATGAAACCTGAATTGGTCAGAAATTGTTTGAAAAGGCAATATTTTTTCAGCAATAGAGTTGTCGATGGATGGAATAGTCTACCAGCCGAAGTTGTTCAATCTACTACAGTTAAAAGCTTCAAATTAAACTTGCAATCGGTTGACTTAGAAGCAATAACAAACAAGATAAAAACCAAGAAAGCTTACTATTAATGTTTTTTATTATTTAGTGACTGAACTAACTTGTTCATTAATTAATTTATACCGGCTGTCATAGATATTGCCTGGCGCTATATCTCAACAGCATTAATTAATAAAAATAATAATAAATGTTTAAAAAATTTAAAATCCTTTAAAATGTTTAAAAATTTAAATTTAAAATTATATCTTTAAATTAAACAATACTGTGATTAAAAAAAATATAAATTAAATTTAACCCTACCCTGATGTTGATAAGAAAAAAAATTTCCTTATTTTAAAATCTTATTCTAATTTAAACTTAATTTTTTTTCTTTAAAAAACTATTTTTATGGTGATTTTTTTTTGATAAAATAAAAATTGTAATTAAACGAACATTACCACTTTTCGACTTTTTTCCCATTAAAATATGTTATTTTTATGTACAGTGAAACCTAATGTATTTTTACTATTTCTTACTCAATCCAAAAAGAAAAATAGTTTTTCGGTTTTAAGATGTTATTACCAGAACTTGTTTTTAACAAATATCAGTATAATTTTGAAATTTTATAAATCTTATATTTATAGCAAAAGTATTTTTTTTTTTTTAAATAAAATAAATATAAGTTAGGCTTTTTAAAAGTTTATTTATTGGTCACGTTATTTTTAGTCGGTTTAACGTTTGGTTCGTTTTATAAAAAAATTCTTTTACACCAAATTTAACGACAAAGTGAAAACCCAAACATAACATTTAAGCTAGAGATTTAAAAAACTTTTTTGTTTTGACGTCATTTATAAATTTATAAAAGCGTATTATTCAGACCAGTATTTGGACCAGTGTTTGCATTACATGTAACTTCATTTTAATTTCAGTTAAGTTTCAAATAGTTTCATTTGAAACTTAACTGAAATTAAAATGAAGTTATATGTAATGCAAACATTTTAAAGTAACTTGAATTAAATTTATTAATTAAAAATAAAATTTCATCAGTTAAAAAAATTGTAAAACGGAGCGTTTTTTAAATTTTTAAAAGAATTTTAATTAAATTTAGTCAAATAAGTAACCAAAATTATGAATAATAAGATTAATTTAAATTTAATAAAAATAAATTAAAAATATATTTAAATAAAAAAAAAAAAAAAGAAAATTAGAACAAGGATATCTATCTGTTTTTTTATCTAATTAAAATAAATATTTGACAAATGTGTTTTACAACAATTAATTACAGTTTAATGTTTTCCGCTTAATTTGTTTTAAAAGACTGTTTAAAATAAACTAATTGAAAAAAGTTTTTGTGTAACGTAAATTGCGAAACGTGTACGTAAAATCCTGAATACGTACGTAAAATGTATGTATATATATATATATATATATATATATATATATATATATGTATGTATGTATATATATATATGTATATATATATATCTATATATATATGTATATATATATATGTATATATATATATATGTATATATATATATATATATATATATATATATATATATATATATATATATATATATATATATATATATATATATATATATATATATATATATATATATATGCTTATCACCCTGCTGGCACTAGCTCTAGCCTATAACTCCTGCTTTTCTCAATCTCTTACTCAGATAGTTAACTTTTTGACTCATTTTTCTGACAATTCTAATCATTTACCTTCACTCCATGATTTATTTCTTGTCACTGACCCTAGCTTGTGTTCAGTTTCTCCTTTTTTCTCCCTTATGATTCTGACCATGCTATGATCTCTTTAATCTTACATCTCATACTTCTTCTTCAGACTCACCCTATCATCATACTACTTATTACTACCCTCAAGCTGACTAGAATTCTTTTCATAATTTTCTTCGTGATAGTTCTTGGGTTGAACACCTCCTGCATAAACTCCTAGAATCAGGTAGAAATAGAAGCTTTTATTCCTTATTTTCAGTTCCAAGTCAAACCTTATTCTACTCCATGGTTTTCACTTTCTTGTTCAGCTGCTATATCTAATCATAATTATTTTTTCATCTTTTTCAAAAGAATAATCTTGAAAACAAACAGCTATTTCTTATTGCATGAAATTAATTTAAAAAGGTGCTGTCTGAAGCTAAGCTCCTTTATTCTTAGTTCACTAAATTCTGTATCTTATTTAAAGTCTAGAGACTTTTTGAAAATTGTAGTCGAAAGAGACTTTTCTTTACATTAAAAGTCTCTTTCGACTACAATTTTCAAAATATATATATAAGATATATATATCTATCTATATATATATATATATATATATATATATATATATATATATATATATATATATATATATATATATATATATATATATATATATATATATATATATATATATATATATATATATATTTATTTATATATATATATATACATAATATATATATATATATATATATATATATATATATATATATATATATATATATATATATATATATATATATATATATCTTATACTGCTGATTTAGGTGGGAGGTGTGACATCATACTGAAAAGGGCTTCAGTACATACATCGACTGGCAAATAGCCTGACTTGCAGTGGAGTGCTGCTACTTAGCCTAAGGGTTTTGGGATGGGTCACCTTTTCATTCATTATTCTTTGTTTTCTCTCTTTGTTTTCTAAAAAACATATATCGATTTAGATGAGCAAAAAAAGTGAGCAAGTACGCATATAAATATGCTATAGTAAATTAGAAATTTGTATCAGAAAATACCATCACACCCTACTTTATGTGAAAATATATATCAATAAAAGTAATAGTTTAATCGGCCTTCAGTTTTAACAGCATTTTGCGCCATGTCAAAGCCTGTTATTATAGAAGGCTGTGATAAATTTGTAATACTTATTAAAGCAATACTTTATATGCGCTAGATGCCAAGCACATTTAAAATAAAATATTGCTTCAAGCTATCAATCTAAATAAAATTATCAAATTTAATAAAACATTAAAGTTTTGCTTTAAAATATATATATATATATATATATATATATATATATATATATATATATATATATATATATATATATATATATATATATATATATATATATATATATATATAAATAAATATGCATATATACAGTATGCAAAATAAATAATGGTACACTTACTTAAAAGATATTTAAAGATAAAATATTGTAAAGACAACTTAAAAGAAGTTGTAATGAGGGCATGGGATAATATAACAATAGAAGAGACCCAAAACTTGGTCAACTCAATGCTAAATTGTCTAGCTGAGGTCATCAAGGCCAAAGGAGGCCCCACTTGATACTAATTTTTTTAGAATTTGATCAATTTGACAATTTTTAACAGCACAATTATTTTTTTGCAATAAATTTTATGCATCATTAGATCAATTGTATAAAATTCAATAGGTTTGAAAAGCAATCAATTCACCAATATAAAAATAAATTCTTAAAACAATACTTGATAAGATGTCTTAAATATTTTTTAAATGTTTTATCGAACAACCCAATTTTTTGATGCAATCTTTAAAATTATGATTTGTTTTTAAGTGTGTTATTTTTTTTGCATACTGTTTATATTTATATATATTATTTTGGAAGTCATTATTTGTATGCATGAACAAACAATGCCTACATAATAAAATTCTTATTTGTACCAATAAGATATTTGTAACTGTATAATTTATGTTCATAAATAAATGTCAAAAAATTTTTATATGTTATTGAATTAATAAGAAACAAAAAATTTGTGAATAAAATTCTTATAAACAAACTTTAAAAGCACTTCTCCCTTTTTAAAAATTGAAAAAGTTTTTTATTTGGTTTTACAAATTTTATGTAAAACTGCTGAACCCATACACAAATTGCCATTTCGTATATGAATCGCAAGCCGTGTGACGCTTCTTAACAACTCAAGCAACTCTGTTAAATTTATCCAAAGTAATTTTATGTGAGGCACCTTAAGTCTGAACTTTACAACCTGACCTTAAATGCTAAAAATAAAGTTTTTTAAAAGAATTTCATGTTGGGAAAAAAAAAAGGGAAATTATATGAAAGTTTTTAAAATAATTATCATTTTATAAAAAAATAACTATTTTGAATTTTACTGTGTAGAAATCAAAATTTTTTAACTAAAAATGAAAAAAATACATTTTGTCAAGATTTTTTTAATTAAAATTGTTATTTTTTTAATTAAAATTTCTATTTTTTAAATTTTCTAGGTTTTTTCTAATTATAATTATGTTTTTTTATAAAATGACGAATATTTTTGAAGTTTTATTTGAGTTTGCTTCTGTTGAGACCTGATATGATAATCTTTAAAAAAAACTTTTTGTATTTAGGGTGCACTTTTTCTTATCATAGCAATGAGTGTCTAAGCAACAAAAAGATTTTATTTTACATATTTTAGGCTTAATATCCACATAAATACAACCATTGTATTTTTAACCATCTATTTAATGAAATGTAAATAGATGCATATATAATCTCTTTCATACATTTATGTTTATATCTTATTGTTTAGATGATCCAGTTGGATACAATTTCCATTGCAGAGTCTAAGACTCAAAAAGTAGCAAAGCTTGCTGAAAATCGAAATCTGAATAGATATCGTGATGTCTTACCATGTAAGTAACCAATCATTAGCTTAAAAATACGATTAAACAAGAACAACCTTTTCATTTCTACATTTGTTTATAATAATTAAATTTATAGCATAAGGCTTTAGTTTTAATTATTAAATGTTGGTTATTAATTATTAAATGTTGGTTATGTTGTTATTATATTGATTGTTTTAGATGATGATAGCCGCATTGTTTTAAAAAATTCTACAAATGACTACATAAATGCAAATTTTGTTAAGGTATTCTTATGCTATAAAAAAGTATTATTGTTATAAAAAAACAAATTAAAAAGTGATAAAAAAGATATGACAAGTATCACAAATCGTCAAATTATTTTGTTCCAACTACAAACTTTCATTTTTTTAAAAAACTTACTTTTTATTCATTAAAAAAGCTATTAGCTCCACTTATAGGTTGTCCATAAGTTGTGTCACACAGTTTTTAAAAATTTTGAACCCCTCTTCCCCTAGTAATATTTTACTGACCCCTCCCCCCATTCTCTCTCAAAAATAAATGCAACAAATCCCCCCCCCCCGCCCCTCTTCTTCCCTAAAATTTTATTTTGATGGCTTTGAATACAAAATTAAATTATAATTTAAATACAAAATTTTAATTTTCTTAGCTTCATTTATTTGTCTAATTAATACATTTTGGCATATAAATTTTAATTATTATTAAAATCGTGGATGAATAAACTTTCATAATTTCCCCCTCCTCTCCTTGTAAAAAAATTGTCAAAAAATTGCTTAGCCCTCTAGTGAATATTTATTTTAATACTTTTAAAATAGCATCAAGAAAATTTGTTGATTCAATTACAATTACAAAAAAAAAAAAGACTATTTTGAATTTAGTACCCACATGTTAGTAATTTCCATAAAGGTTTTAATTTTACAATTTGAAACAATTTTTATATTCTGATAATTGGAGTTTGTTCTTTTAACAATAAAGTACTTTTATTTAAAATAAAGAACTTATTAAATTTTTAAGAAAGCCTGTTATTAACTTGTAAGTTAACTATTGACTTTTATTTTTATTAAATTTGATAAATTAAAAGCTTACTCTCTGACAGAAATGGTTTACTATATTTATGTCTACACTATACTTATGTCTACACTATACTTATGTCTGCACTATACTTATGTCTACATTATACTTATGTCTACACTATACTTATGTCTACAACACCTAAGTACAATTTGTATAAAAATCTAACTATTCACTAATTATTACTGGTAATGTGTTATAAGTAATAGTTGATGTAACTACTAGCTGTCAAGACCCATACAGTATGGATCATGGTAAGTCTGTTCCATACCCAACTATTTCTAAATTTGTTTTTAATTTAGTCTCTATATGTCAATAAATTTTAGTTTACAGCAAAAAATTTAACAATTAGATTACTATACTTTAAAACTGCCCTTATTTACTTCAATATTTTATGCAAAGTAAAAGTATCTTTTACATAGAAGACAGCTGCATAACATTTCTTCTGGTGTTTTTGGAAACTTAGGCTGTAATAAATTTTTAACCCTCGTTAAGGTTTATTAAAAAGCAAAAATGGACAAAGAAAATGGACTGAAAGAATCTAGTTATGTCAAATAAGTTAGCTCTATCTGTTTGATATTTTTTGTAAAAGCTTTTCTGTAAAAAAAAAACTCTTAACAAATTCATTCAGTTAAGCTGTTTTTAATGCTGAATTATTATACCTGTTGAATTATTATACCTGTTGTTTGTGCCGATATTTAATGCATATGGAAACTGTCTAGATCATATTTACAAAAGGTGATAAAAGTATAAATGGTTTCCATTCCCATATAAAAGAAAATATAAAAAAACAAAGCAAAAATGACAATAGTAATTCCAAAGAAAAAAATATATAGAAATTTATTTGAGAAACGAAAAACATATTTTTCCTGAGATAAGATAAGAGTATAAACTTAAAAAAAAAACCATTAAAAAATATTATATTCAAAAATTAAAAATGCTTATAAAAGCAATTTAAATTTTAACATTTTCAAAATACAATACAATCATTTCAAAAAGAGAGAAAATTTAAAAGATTATGTGAGAAAAAAAACAACTTATTTTTCTTCAGATTCAAAAATTACAAAAAAATATTATATTTAACATAAAAAAGTATTCATAAAAGTTTATATATGTTTATAATAATGAAACATATATAAAAAATTTATATATGTTTCATTATTATATAGATTTCAGTAAACAATATATTGATTATCAAACTTTGTTTTAGCTTTTAGAAAACACTCCAAATTCTGAACATTCAACACTTAAATTCTGCTATGTAGGAACTTTCGAAAATCAATCATAAGAGAAGGAATTCGACCTAAAAATGGAACAAAATTATTGATAACACCTATCACACATTAATGTGTTATGTACTCTATTTATTTGAAAACTCAAAAATGTGACTTAGCAGATAATAAATTAGAAACTTACTTTGTGAGGTTGTTTTTTTTTGTGGAAAAGTTTTAAGATTTATTGTTGCAAGTTTGGATTAACAACTCCTTTTAAAAGAGCAAGGCTAAAAATAAATAAACACAATAAGATGAACCTTTATGTTTTTAATTAAAAACTGAATCATTGGGTGTTAGCAAATGATTTTATGTAGTCAATTTCAGTAATGAAACTACCCAATAATCATATTTAACTATAGACATTGATGTGAAGGAAAGCCAAGTTGTCTATCAACACAAAACAACACAACAGTTACATCACAAAAATAACAAATAACATAACATATTACAGTAAACTCTCAATTAGTCAAACCTCCAAGAGACCAAGAAATTACCTTGTTAGAGAATGTTAGAGTTAGTGTAATGAATCTTTTAAAAAAACTGCACGCATGAGTAATGGCAGCAAACATGCACACATAAGTAACGGCAGCAGCAGGAGCGTTAAATTAAACATTAATTGTAAGCGATTGCATTGGTTAAATTATTTAAATCTTGTAATTTAACACTAAAAATTGAGACTGAGCATTATTTTATTAGTTACTATAGTTACATATTAGATTAATGATTTTTACAGTAATCTATGATATGTTAATGTTAATAGTAAATATTGACACTACTCACTATTGTAACTAGATTTTTAGTTGATACTGTAAGTTAATCAACACAGGGCAACTGATTAAGACAACTTGAATAACTCTGATGCTAATCCTTGTTATCATCTGATTCAAGTAAAATTGTTACTTCTCTGCCTTCTCCATAGGTAGACATATTACAAACATTTCAGTTTTGTGTAAAACATATTTAAAATAGAGTAAATTATATTAACTACTTCTGCACTTTATAAAAGTAAAAGATAAGATTTACCTACTTATTACCATACTTTTATAACTCAATAAACAGTTATGGTCAATAAAAAACAAATCAAATAATTGTCTAATGTTTTTTGATATCGTGTTGTTTTTAAATGTAGCTATAATTTAAAAACAACAGAAATAATTGATATCAAAATTATTATAATTTTTATTTAAAGAGAATACTCTTTAAATAAAAATGACGGTACAACTGTTGGTACAACTGTTTCAAAATCTCATTATTGATTTTTGAATACATTCAAAAATCAATAATGAGATTTTGAAACAGTTGTACCATCAGAAGAAGTCTTGACATCAAAAGGGTGCAAGAGTACCAAGAACTCAGATACCTAGAAATGCAATGTTAATACAAAAAGATGTCAAGCTGGCCAGAAGTATGAAAATAAAAATAAAGTGATAAGAAGAAAAAGTGAGGTCTGTAATGGAAATGGCTGCACAAACTATAAATTAAAATACCACAGTTATTTCTCACAAGAGCTACAAGAGTTACTGTTTAATAATAAAAAATGTTTAATAATAAAATAACTTTTGGGGATTTAATCATGAATACCCAAAACCAAAGCACATTTTTATAGTGAAAATAAAAACATATTGTAAATAAAACTAAATGAACCCAGACATTTTTATCCAGGCCAAAATTCTCATTTGCCTACTTTTTTTACTTTGAAGTCATTCCTATAAGAGTTTGCAAGCCTTTCTTTTTAAACACTCTGGATATTAGCCAACAAAGAATTTTGTATTTCTATAAAGATTTCCAAATGAATGCAAACACACCTACCCCAAGAAAACAATGCAAACATACAGAAAAGAATAGTCCTAATGCAGCCAGATGATGGCATCAGGGAACACTTTAATTGTATTGCTGTTATAGACACATTATTCCAGTCCCAATACAGAAAGGAAATACTTTGAATCTGAATTGTCTATAAATCGACTGTATGAGCTCTACCAAGATTTTTATCAGCAAAAAGGACTTTAATCAGATAAAAAGCATTTATATTCTGATATTTTATTAAATGAGTTTAATATTTCTTTCCAATAAAGAAATAATTTTATGGTTTCCTGCATTCCACAAAACATAAACTCTATTATGAGCATTGTGATAAATTTTTTATACATTTTTTAAATTCACAACCAGATATAGTCTATCACTTAAAAATTTTCTGCAAGCGACCATGCTTTTGTATAAGAAGTGGATTTGATGCATAGTAACATTGACCAAAAAACATGCAGATGACTTCACCACAGTTTTCTTAGATAAACAATCATTAAAAAAAGAGAAATCCACAGTCTATCCTTTAGCCCTAAAACTGTCTATTCAGACCAAAAACAGTTCTTTACTTTCAAAAGAAAAGAAAGAAGATATTAGCAAAATATGTCCTACATCCCTGAAATCGATAGAAATTTTATAGCAACTCTTTGCATTTAATTATGTGATGTGACTTTTTCTTATACATGTTAATGTCTTATTGTAAATGGTTCATGTAAACAAATTGTTGTTTTTGAACACAATCAAATAATATCTGAAATACAGTTTATGGAAATTATTAATGTATAAATTCATAACACCTACACAATATTAATATTTAAAAATATAAGTGATTTTGGACAAAATTTATAATAAAAACAACAACAAAGTTGATATAGAACATTATACAATTTTTAGTGTTTTGAAATTTTGTAAGGAATTTGTTTCTTAAAAAGTAAAAATTATTTGTGTCTTAAAACAAAATTTGGTAAAAAATCGATTTTGAATATTTTTTGGTCTTTTGAAGTTTCAATCATGTTTTTCTCAAAATTATATTTTGGTAACATAGAACAAGATAATACTAGACGTATAAAATGCTTATAATATTTTTTCAGTGCTGTCTATGAAATATCAGTTAAAATACCATCCCATCCTTAAGAGTATTTATAATAAAATAATATATGTGCTTAGCTCATATATTTATCCTTATCAATGTTCTGCAACAATTCAAAGTCAGCTGTAAACCAGCTTTTACATACAAATGAATTGTGAGTATACTTGTCTCAGATTTCACATTTTTCCTTTTGTGAATGCATTCTTTTCTGATAGAAAAGAATGCATTCACTATTTTTACATTTCAAAATTCACTTAAGTTGTGTTGAAACACAAACATTTCACTTGATTTTTGATACCCCATGCATCCATAGATGTGAACTGCTAATGCTTCTTTAGTTACTGATGAATGCTTTGGAATGGAAAGAAGTTAATACACAACTTTGTCAGATACTAAAATTGGTAAGTGGTCCATGTTTTCTTTATCATTGATGTCTTGCAACAATTTCCTATTCCAGTGGACAGCCAGAGGCTCTGTAGATTTACAATTTTTTTTTTTGAATAATGGTTCTGTCTATATGTACAGAAGACCAACTAATATTAAAGTTTAGTGTTTTCAACTAACATGTTGAATTGCCAAAATCAATCCAAAGTTTTAATCATTATTTTTTTATTTTATTATTTAGCTATGTACAAACTAACTGCTACTATGCCATTTAGTAAGCTTTTTTGTCACTTATACTCAAAGCAGCACTATAATGTTTTTTGTCACGGTAACATTTGCTGCATCAATTTCATATTTAAATGATGAGCACCCTCTCATAATTTTTTCTTCACTCTTCACTCTTCTGTTCTTTTTTGATTATATTTTGTTTTTGTCTTAGATTCTTTTTTCTAAGTTAATATTTTGGCAACGTCACCTATTTTTCCTTTTTGTCCATTTTTGTGTTGAGCTGACAGAAAATCTCCATCTTTCTGTATACTTATCATTTGAACAGCATTTGTATGAGCGATGTCAAAAAAATTATTGTTCTTCCATTCTGCTTCCTTTTATATTAACTATTTTTATCAATGATTCATGAGTGCACAAGCAGTGAGTTTTAAAATTGATTAAGTTTTAGTAAATTTTTAAAAATTTATTTTAATATATGTAGATCTCTTTTTTATTGAAATGATTTATTACTTTATGAATAATATTTTGTGTCACATTTCTTCTTATTTTCATATTTAAAAAGTTCTTTTGTTACACTTCTTCTTTGTGGAACTATTTTTTCTAATATTAAATGCTTTCTAATATTAAAAATTGCAGTAAAATAGCTCCAAGTGAGAGAGCAAGTAATTATAAAAAAAGACTTTTGTAATTAAAACTTGAATGAATGAATTCGATACTTTTAAAATTATTTTTGTCGTGTCATTCAAATTTAAACAAACAAATTTTTATTGCTGTTAAGGGAATATAGTTTAAAATATGCGTGTGTCTATTATTTTCACTTTGATTAAGTCATACTTTAGGTACTAAGTTAAAAACCCAACTATAAAAATATTGCATATTAAAAGTATATTTTATTTTTTAAAAAGTTTTTAATTTAAAGTATAAAATTTAACCCCTTAAGACAAAACGTCGTAATATTACAGGGGACCTTTTTATGCGTTAAGGAGAACCGCCGTAATAATACGCACTGAGATAAGGTGTAACTTATGGAGTTTGTAACACCTTAAAATTAGTCATACACCCTTCAAACCTCGATTTTACGATTCTCAAATGTTCTATGGAACTAATAAGCACAAATTTCATTTATAAATAAAAATAAAAATGGTAGATAAACGACGATCAATATCTGTCCAAGACGCTGTAAATTTTGTTTTGGAAGAAGACTCGGATCTTTCTTTGTTGACAGAATCTTCATCTGACAGTGAAATAGAATTTTTAATCGATTCAGAATCAGATGAAGAATTATATTTGAGTGATTACAGTGACAATAATTTTAATAATATTCCATCAGTTGATCAAAACATCAAGAATTTAAATACAGGTCCAGCTCTAAAGAAAAAAAAAGGTAGTTGCTATGAGAGTTTAATTTGGCAAAAAGAACTTCCTAATAAAGAAATAAAACAATTTAATTTTATTTGCAAAGAAAAAATCAATGAAGATATAAAAAACTCTGATCCTCGTAATAATATATTTGAATATATTATTACAAATGAACTTTGTGAATACATTGCTGAACAAACGATTTTTTAGTCGTTTTGAGAATTAACTGGACCAATAAGAGACAGTTAAAAAAAGAAAAATAGCTTTTAACGCAAAACAACTTTAAGCAAAATAAACACGATTAGAGCAAATATTTTTGAAACGTGGTTTTTTTATAAATTTTTTTATAAAATTAAGTGACATTTTTTATATTAAGTAACAACTTACTATTAATGATTGTTTAATAAGGAAACAAGTGTTCTTCGATTTATAAAAGAGTATATATAATTTTTATTTATATATTTATGTCTTATTTCCAGTGCTGGATTGAGAAGGAGGGGGGGGGGAATAGAAGGGCTATAGCCTCGGGACTCACAATGTTAGGGGCTGCGAAATAGTCAAGAAGACCATTCGGTATTTTTTTTAGTCATTTTTTTAGTCATGAGGAGGAAGTGAAACTACTTCACAATAATGCTGATGATATTTAGAGAGTGGGCTTTATAATTTTAATTAGTATTTAAAACAGAAAAAAGTAACTTGATGTTTAAGAATAACGAGTTTGTAAAAATGGCTGAAGCAAAAATAATTTAAGCTAGTAAACCGATTTCTAAGAACTTTTTTTTCTTGGGGGAAAGAATCAGTTATTGGATACACTGAGGAAAATGGATTAGTGGTTAAAATTATTTGTATTAACTTTGATAATTATTAATAATTTCATTAAAAACTCAGTCATTATTGAAAGTATTTTTGTTTACAAAATCAATCGCACAAATTGCTTTAAAAGATTACATTTGAATAAAATACACATACATAAAATTACATGCATAAAAAGTACATACAAAAAAATACATTACATACATAAAAAATACATTAGATGCATAAAAAATACATACCTTATATAAAAAATAAGAATATACTAATAAAATTTATAATATATTAACAAAACGTTGACAAGTTAAAAAAGATAAATTTAAAACTTTTATTTTTGTAAACAAATAATGTTAGTTTAAAACATTAATAGCTTTATAGATGTGGCTCGGAGAATTAAAATAATAGCTCGTTTAATAGTATATTCTTAAAACTATTTTGCTAGAAATCTCAACATAAACATAACAAAATTCAAATAGTACAATTTTTAAAAATATTTCAACAGAATACTCTAGAAATTTCGGTTAGTATTTTTTGAACCAATAGAATTAGATGTTTGTAGATTTGGCGGTTTTTTTGTGTTTGCAAATATTCTTTTTTTTATTTTTCCGCACAAAGATGTTTGAGAACATTTGAGTGTATGTATGTTTCCATGTATGTCTGTAAAACAAAATATTTTTATATTTACGATAAAATAATGAAGGAAACATACATAAATTTAAATGATCTCAAAACGACTAAAAAATCTGGCCGGTTTTTTGGTCAGTTATTGAGTGCGATTGCACCCGCTTCCTGACCAAGCCTGATTCAGGAGTACATTGTTAATCTGTGGAAAATTATGTTACAACCAGGGTGTGATATATCCATAGATGAATCATTACTTCTGTGGAAAGGGAGGCTTAGTTTTAAACAATCAATATGATCAAAAAGTGCACGTTTTTGTATTAAAACCTTTGCATTGGCATGTTGGAAAACTGGATATGTCAAGAATCAAATTATATACCTTGGTGCTGGCACAAAAATTTCTCATCAATACAAATATCAGGTCACTGATTTAGTAATGTCATTATCTGAAGGCCTGTTAGATGTTGGACGGTGCACATATTGGAAAAAATTACAATCTTTTTTACTTTAAAGATGCTCACAAAAACATAAGAATTAATAAACGTTTTTTTTTGTCTTTTTTTTTTTATTATTGCATAATTACATAATAACAGTTATGGCTTTAATCATTAATTTTTTTATTATTGCATAATTACATAATAACAGTTATGGCTTTAATCATTAATTTTTTTATTATTGCATAATTACATAATAATTATTAAAGCAATATTTTATTTTAAATGCGTTATATGCTGTTAAAAAAAAATAAATGCGTATTTGCATGAGCTTTATTTTGCCAGTGTAAACCAACTTACATGGGTGTGAGGCGGCATGGGCATCACCTGCCATTCCTGCCTAGGCCTGTGTATTTATATCTAGAAAAATATATTATCTGTTTAAATAAATGTTTGTGTGAATGTGTATTTTAGGCGGTAGAGTGTAAAATAATTTTTGTTCATCATAAGTTAATAATACAAGATTAAAATTTTCTTTAGGTTCCAGATGTAAACAGAACATATATTCTAACACAGGTAACTTTCTGTGAATTTATTATTTGTAAATTTAAATTCACCCACTAATAATGTAAGATTTCAATTTAAAGGGTCCATTGCCACACACTTGTGAAAGTTTTTGGAAAATGGTTTGGGAAAATAATACAGAAGGAATAGTTATGTTGAATAAATTAGTGGAAAAAAATGCTGTATGTTATTTTATTGCTTTATTCAAAATTTGTATTTATTTTTTTATCTTTATTTTTTGCGCTTATGTTTTATGGGTTTTTGATCTTAAGATTTTTTTATTTAACTTTATTAATCCTGTTACCCAGTCTATTCAAAACAGAAAGTAATAATAAATAGTATAGGGTGGCCCTTATTTTTAAAGTTTAATTATTTCAATAGCTGAACCCTCAGTTATGTTCTACTATATGTAAAAATAATCCAGGTAATTTTTAGGCAATATTTGACAAAATCCAGAGGTTTTGAATTTTAAAAGACGTAAAATGTTAAAATCTGCATAAAATCTTAACAAACAAAAGCAAATATAAGTTTTTTATTAATTTAAATAAAGTAAAACTATAAAAACATACATTTTAAATTAAAAAGCACCTAAAGGGCACCATATTTAATGTTTTTAAAAATCACAGTCTAGTTCTTTGTAAACCATCTTGTATATTTACTTATGCTAATGTTTTTTTAATTAACATTTTCAGAATTTTCAATAAAAAATTGCCATAAAGTGTCAAAAGTTCATCAGCAAAAGTAAATAATAAATATATATTTTATATGAAACAGGTTTGTAAAATGTTTAATTTAGTTTATAAATGATTATATAATCTGACATCTAGAATCTATAGTATATTCATTAATGAATATAGTTGTAACAGGATAAGTATTCCGTTATCTGCGTACATAATTATCTAATTCTTTCACTTTTTACTGTTTATTGATTACAATATTACATTTACAAGTTGATCTCGTTAATCCTACTGACGGAATTGAAGGAAGTAAATTGCCCTAAGGGAGGCAGGTTTTTTGAAAGTTGTCAACATTACAACGTCTTGAAAGAGAATATCAGTGAAGCAGCAGCCCACACTGAAGAGCAATTTGAGAATTTCTGGTTTCAATCAAAAATTCAAATATGATCAGGATTCCATCAAAAAGATTGAGTAACTATTTTTTGAATAGAATAGAATAGAAGTGTGAAGGAAAATAAAGGCCACAAAACTCAGACTTAACAAGCAAATGAAGAATCATTTTTATCCATGATTCGGGAGCTGTTTGAAATAGCTCACAAAAATACTATGGAGCTTATAGATAATTAAAAAATTGCTATTTCCAGAAATACATTGGAAAAAGGATCCCCCTGGCTGCGTGGTGGTTGTGGACAAAATATTGCTGCAACAACAGAAACAAATAGAGAAAGAGGAAAAATTTCAACTTCACCAATCCATACTTGACAAAAATGCTTTATTAGAGAAAGCTGTGTTGAAGAACAGTAGCAGTGCTGTGTCAGAAGAAGAAGGTTAGTCTGAAGATCAAGATACAGATCTATGCACAAGCGCTGTTACACTTCCAAAAAACGAGACAAAAGTGTTAAATAAAAAAATCAAAGGGCGTCAAAGTGTTGTTTCACCTGAACTAGCAGCTATGTTTGATCAAAATAAAATAAGTGACTAGACTGCCATGATGGTTGTCTTCGAGGCTCTTTGACATTAGGATGAAACACTTGCTTTGAACAGGTCAACCGTCCAGCATCTACATTTGAAACGCATAGAAAAAGCGGCAACTAATATTATAGAATCATTCAAACCTACTACAACTCTTACAGTCCTCTGGAATATTGACAGGCTGTTAATCCATTGGATTTTGTATAGGTACCTTTTCATATAGGTTGCTCTTGTCAAAGATTAAGTCATTGAATTTTGTGAACCACAGCAGCAGGATCATCAACCACTAATTAACTATTAAAAGCTGCTTAATTTAATGCTCATCCTTTTGAGCAGAATTGGAAACATTTTCAAGCTCCTGGGCCAATGCATCAAGGCTTGCTGGATGGTGAAAGCCATTTACAGTATTAAATTTTGGCTCTTTAGATCACAATTCAAGCTCAGAAAGCAAGAATCTCATAACCTTTTATATGTCAATATATTTCTTGTGAAGGTATATATTAATTCTTGGTATTTGGCACCACTGGCATCTAAAGCCGCTAGAAGGTACTTCAATAACTGTGCGCATACATTGATAAAGGTGAGCCTCAGCATCACACAAGATTGTTGGTCACCTATGATATCTATCAGAGAACCTGATCTTGTTTAACCTCTTCGATCTTGAAGTGGAAACATCAACAAAGTGATAAATGGCAAAAGCATTGATATAGAAAGAAGGAGGAGCGGTATCCTTAAAACATTCAGATAAATTTAGCAACTGTGCAACTGAAGACACTGGTTGATTTTGTTTTCAATAGAAGCATAAATTTATATGGTTGGCATTTTGGATGGATTTTTAACCAAAGATCTAGAATCGTGGAGCAGTAGAGATAATTTCAAGGCAGCAGAAGCTATAGCTTAAACCAAGGCATTGACTGATGACCATTTTCAAATTTATGTCTTACCAGTAGTTTTTGATTCTGGTGCAGGCAGATGCCTTTTTATCTCTGGACTTATCCTTTTTTATAACAGCCCAGATGAGCTGTTGAGTTAATCTCAAAATTTTTCACGTATATTGTAAATACTCTATTTAAAAGTTCGTGCTGTTAAGTTTATTAAGTATAGATTATATATTAAGTATATATGAAGCTGTTAAGTTTATTAAGTATACATAATTGTTGTTTAATAGTAATTAAAAAAAATGCTTATAATATTTATATAATATATTTGTTACATATGCTTTACTGTTGTTTATTACATTAACTTTTTTTTTTTTAAGGTTAAATGCCACCCATATTGGCCAACAAATGAAGAAGAGTCAATTAAGTATGGTGATTATGATGTCTGTACCCTCAGTGAATCATTTGAAACCTCCTATATTCTAAGAGAGTTTTTGTTAACTCATCTTCCAGTAAGAATTTTTTTTTCCTGACTTATTTATATTTTAATGGTTTAGTGGTACAACATCTTGCTTATGAACTCTATCATATTGCTAAAATGTCTATCATTATACCATAACCACATTTTATGTGTTATATTTTAATGAAAAAAAAAAAAACCCAAAAAAACAAGATAAATTAGTGTTACCACTAATTTATTTGTCATTTGTTTGTTAGCAGTTTTTTTAATCAAATTTTATTAAATTTAACTAAAACCAGAAGTTTTTAAAATCTTTTTGCAATATCCAGATATTGTTTTTGTGAATATCCATTTTTAGCAAAAATTGTAATAAAAAAGTTTCATATTGAACGTCATGTTCAGAACATATTTTATATGCCCCAGCTAAAAATCATTTTAAAATACTAATTAAACTACATTAATTTTCTATAACTTTATTATTTTCGAATTTTTTTTTTCAAGGTTATGAAATAGGTCTTAGTCACGTATTAATCCAACATTGATAAATATAATACAAAACTTTCCTTTATAATATAAAAATATTAAAAAATAAAAATGAAGCGAAAATGAAGCAAAAAAAAAAAAAAATCTGCAACTTACTCATCACCAAGGCAATTTACAGTGAACAAGGTAAGTTGCAACACTTTTGAAAGTCTTGCAGTGAACAAGGTAAGTTGCAACACAATATTTTGAAAGTACAAGTGAGATTTAATTGAATGACGAGTAATACAATAATGAATTTGAGTAGATGGCACAAGAGGCGCTAGCTCTTTAGAGCAGTGCCCATTATCATATTTGTAAAAAAGAGAAAGAGAAGCAACATTATGACGATTTGGAGGTTGGCTGCAAGAGCAGGTCCAACTATGTTTGCAATTTGAATCAATATGTTGTAAATATTCTATAAATAATATGGTATAAAGTGTCCCACCAGTGTACTTACTTAATTGCACATATGGTGCATGTTACATTGGTGAAACGAGAAAAAATAATTTCCACATGAATCACAAAACATAAAAAGAATATTACTAAATCCAACTGGGATGCATCTTTTGGAATCCATTAGCAGCACTAATCCACTAGCAGCCTTGACATGGTTAAAGAGCATTAAATTGTAAAGTAGATTTTTGAAGAAGGATTGTTGATTGGTAAAGGATGACCTTGATAATAAATAATAGAGGGATAGGTTACTTCAACTTTAAACTGATAACCTCAACATCTTTAAATGATAACATCAAAGAAATCAATTTCAAAGAAAGGACTACTACAAAGTATTAATTTTTGTTCTATAAATGTGGAACACACCATTTAAACTATAGTTTAGTATCTAATGCTACTCTAAAATTGCATAAAAAAAGAACCATCTACCATCAAATATTTACAAATCAATTATTTACAAACAAATTTTAAGTTTTTAGATATCAAATATTCACAAACAATTATAAAGTATTTAGAAATCAAATATTCACAAACAGTTATAAAGTATTTAGAAATCAAATATTCACGAATAATTATAAAGTATTTAGAAATCAAATATTCACCAACAATTATAAAGTATTTAGAAATCAAATATTCACCAACAATTATAAAGTATTCAGAAATCAAATATTAGTATAATAAATATATTAGTTTTATATAATAGATATTTTAAGTATTGGAGGTTAGTTACAAAAGAATGTTTTTGTAGTTGTAAAAATCTGTAACTTATCTCGAATACCTTGTTGCTCAATGATAATTTTAATCTATATATATATTATTATTCAATAAGTACATTGACAGAATCAAATAGTAGTTTCGAATTCATTATAAATGAATTTGAATTTGGGCAAGTAAAGCCCTTTAGCCATGGTAAAAGCAACTTATTGAGGATAAAGAAAACTTAATTGATATAAAGACCAATTTAAGGTAAAAGTAGGAAGACTTATAAACATTAGCTGTTAATCTTGTTATAATGTCTTGATTTGAAAAATAAGTTATGTTTAAGAATATCCTGTTTTTTTGATTACTTCAATTCTACAAAACGTCATATTTAAACAAAATATTTAGCATTATAGAACTAATTATGTGGTTTTGAGGAGTTTCCATAATGCAACAACTAGGAATGTTAATAAAGTTTTGTGACATGTTGCTGTGCACAATTACCAGTTGTAGAAATATCTAACAAGTAGAATGAGTTTAAAATAAAAAAAATAATTGTTATATTTATTTAATACTGTTTATATCCATTTAATTCTACTATAAAATATTTTTATTTACAAAATTATATTTCTATTTATATTATCTATTTATAAAAATGTATCTTTATTTATAAAAATACATTTTTATTTATATAAGTATATTTTTATCATAAAAATATATTTTTATTCATAGTATAACATTATTTATTTTTATTTACATAATAATGTAGCTTTATTTTTATTATAAAATTATATTTTTATTTATAAAAGTATATTTTTATTTACAAAAATGTATTATAATAGAATTTTATTTATAAAGTATATTTTATATCAATCAAGCCACACGTCAGAAAATGTTTTTTTACCAACAGATCAGAAGCGATCACATTTTGATTAGCTAGAAAAACAAAAAATGATCAATTTTCGTAAGCATGTGAATTTATGTTGTGTACTCTACTATTTTTATTTTATTCTAGAGTTCCAGTAAACGTCATATTAAACAGTTTCATTACATGACATGGCCAGATTTTGGAGTTCCTGATGACCCTTTGACTTTTCTTAAATTCCTTTCACATATCAAATCTACAGGTGTATTATTTTCAAACCCTGTAGTTCATTGTAGGTAAGTTGAAATTCAATAAAAATAAAGTTTTAATTAATAGCAAGTGTATTTTTGTTATCAAGCAGTATATTCAATTTTTTTGAAGTTGTTTTGCTCCTCTGTCAAGACATTGATATTTTAGAGTTTAATTTTATAATTTTTACTATTGGGATTCTTATTTTTTTTAATTCTTTTTTTAGTATATTATTATTTGTCATAAATTTTAATTATTCATCGATTATGTTTTAAAATAAAAAAATAAAAGTTTACCTCAATGCATAGTAGCCAATTATTAAAAACTTTGGTAAAAATAAAGTCATATTTTAGTGTCAGATTACCTAATGATACTAAAATTGATTTTTATCTTGTATCTTTTTATCTTTATATATATATATATATATATATATATATATATATATATATATATATATATATATATATATATATATATATATATATATATATATATATATATATATATATGTATATATATATATATATATATATATATATATATATATATATATATATATATATATATCAGTGGTGTACACTAGACTTTTAGATGTTTGAGTTTTGACACTTACACACATTTTGCAAAACTCCAAACTTTTGTATGTTCATGCTCATGTCAAATGAGAATGTTTTGAAAAAAATTGTGGTGGTTGGAGCTTGGGGACAAAAAAAAACCCAATTTTCGGGCCCACCCAGCCCTTAACGTGGGAGCAATAAGTTGATAAAATAATTTTTTTAGTATTTTTATCTAAGTTTATAATCATCAACAAATTTCAAATCATCAACAAATTTCACGTTAAGGGCTGGGTGGGCCTGAAAATTGGGGTTTTTTGTCCCCAAGCTCCAATCACCACAATTTTTTGCAAAACATTCTCATTTGACATAAGTATAAACAATTAAAAGTTTGGAGTTTGCAAAATGTGTGTAAGTGTCAAAAGCCAGTGTGCACCACTGAAAATATATATATATATATATATATATATATATATATATATATATATATATATATATGTGTATATATATATATATATGTGTATATATATATATATATATATATATATATATATATATATATATATATATATATATATATATTATAAAATTGCTTATAAATATCAATAATATAATAAAAATTTACTTCTTTTAAAATATAGTGCTGGTATTGGACGTAGTGGGACATTTTGTTTAGTTGATGCTGCTCTATCCATCGTAAGTATAATACTTATTATTATAATAGATGGTTAAAATTAAATTTTATTATTATTTTTAATTTTTATGTTATTTTTTTCTGAGGCTAAGCAAAAAAATACTCCAGATGGTTTAGACCCTAGAGCACTTTTATTGTCGATGCGTAAGTACCGTTCTGGTTTAATTCAGACTGCTGAACAATACAGATTTGCACTAGTCACCATACTTTCAGGTCTGAAACAAATGTTTCCCCAATACTTTTCAGAAAATAAAAATGATATAGGTAAGTAATTTAAGTAATTCTACTATTTTTTTAAATTTTAATAAAAAAAAAAAAATTTCTTAAAAAATTATAATAAATAAATAGGCTAGCCAATGTATCTACAACAATTTCAAAACCCATAAATTATTTACAGGTAAAGTTGTTAATAAAAGTACTTGATTTAAAAAGCAAATTAAAGAAACACTAAATTTGCTTAGGCTTTTATAATATTTATTGAATTTAAAGCATCAGTTTTGGTAAAGTTACAACACTTGGTGTCAAATATTTGTCCAAAAACTAGACACAAGAGTTTAGTGTTCTTATATATTCTTACTAATTTTTATTAATGTTGTCTATGCTCACTAAGTTTTTTTATGTGATTTTATTTATTTGCTTTTCATTTATTTATTACTTTATTTTATTTTTACTTATTTGCGTAAAATAATTCCTACCTTGTCATTTCTACTGTCAAAGTAGAAATGACAAGGTAGGAATTATTTTAAATGTCACCACTTTTTTTTCTTAAGTAAGCTTTTACTCCTAAAATTTTTCGCAAATGATTATGTTTGGCAAATATTATTATACCGTTGTTATTACACTGATACTGATGGACAAAAAAAAGCTAATATCAATGCCAATTCTGATTAATTAACCATGTATATTCAGTAATATAAAACTAAATATTACAGGTCAGGTCAATATCAAGATCATCATGATCACCTAGCCACCTGTTAACATGTGATCAAGTATAACCTGGCAGATGTTTTGCTGCCTTGTAACTCTGACTTGAAATATGACCATGTGAATTTAGGTTAGAGATAGTGTCTTGACAAAAATATTTGTCTTGAGTAGATGTTAACATCCAGCTACTGTCTTGTAGAAGACTTCTTGGGCAAAAACTTTAGGAGTAAGCTAAAAATTTGTGTTGGCCAGCCTTGCATTCCTTTTTCATCAATAGGCTGGCATAGATTTAAAGCTGCGTTACAATATTTTCTGTCTTGGATGATGGATGCTAAATCATCACTCCTGTATTATTTCTCATCTATATTAATGATCTTCCCAATAATCTTACCCTTTAAGTTATCTCTATTTGATAAGTCTATAAATGAGACGACTATATACTTTGGTCAAAAAAGTTATGAGATTTTGATTGCTTAGAAAAAGCAGGCGGTCTTGAATGTAATCTCTCTACCAAGACAGTTATATACACCTCTCACACATCTTTTGTTCAGTCCTAAAACCTAAATTAATTTCAATACAAAACTCTTGTTCTACCTAAACTCAATCTCTCATGACTCATATACCAAAGTTGCATCCCTTTACTGTATCACCATGCTCAAAACACTTTTATAATCCTAGTTTTTTACATCAAATACAAGTTTTTAGAAGTCCTGTTTTCATGTTTTTCTCTCTCATGCAGTTTACAGTTTTTAAAGTCTCAACCATTCTCTCAACCATTTTAATGTTATTTAAATTTCTTTATTTCTTTTTGTTAACTACCAATTTACATAATGTTGATTGCAGCCTTTTTGGAAGAGAATTTTTATTAAAAATATATCTTTAGTTGTATATCTTTGTCTCAAAAATAAAATGTATATCTTTGTTATATATAGGAAGAAAAAGTTTGGTTTATTTAACATATAACTATTTTCATAATGCTCGATTTAATTTATTTAAAAAAGTAGTTAGTTAAAAAATCAGTAAATTAAAAAAAAAAGGCTCATTCTAATTATAATACAAATTGTGCAAAAAGTGACATTACAGGTGCTCTAAAATTATAATCAGTGTTCCAGTATATTTATTTATTGCTATTTTTTCTCTGGTAAAAATACTGAAGAAAATAAATTTAAATGCCTGTCTACAAAATACGACTAATAAAAAATGGTTTGATTAAAAGTAAATTAATTAATAAAAAAAAAGTAAAAAGTTATAAGCTATTAAAAAATATTGTTAAGTAAATTTAGATACAAATAGATATTGGTAAAGAGATTACTATAAATATAATTTTTCTAGATTGTCATTTTTCTTTTAATCAATATCTGTGTCGTTTCTTTATGTCTTAACAAAGGTTTTATTACATAGAGCAAAAAGTTAAAAGCGATAACCGCAAAAAAATGTTTCATAAAAAAAAATTTAATTATTCTCTCTCAATTTTCAATCAAATTTTATTTAATTGAATGTTTAAAACATGTTTCTATTGCAATTTATTATACTGAGACTTCTTTTGTTTTAGAAAAAAAGAATTTCCATGTGTGTCATTAAGTGCATTCTAATGTTTTTTCACATGCGTTCTAGTAATGTTTTTTTTTTATTACTTTTTTATTCACTATTTTTTTTGACAAAATTAAAATAAAAATTTATTTTACTAATAAAAAATGAAAGAGATTCAGTAATAATTCAACTGCCTATTCATATCATTCAAAATACGACTATAACATTTAAAAAATGATACAATAGCATTTTGTATTAAAAGAAATTGTTATTTTAAAACTCATTTTTAATTGAGAAATGCAACAACAACATTTTAAAAAAAGTACAGTCATACATTAAAAATATTAAATTGTGTGTTGGCTTCTTTTTATTACATTTAATAAAATTATATAATGCACTGTAGTGTACTCTATTAAAACTTTTTTTAAATTATCACAAGAAATAAAATCTTTATAGCTCAAAGTATGGTTTTATTAATAAACACTCTTTTATAAGTAACAACTGTCTGATCATCTTGCTAAGTTACTAGCAGGCATTTTTTTTTTAAATTTTAGTTGCCCTTTGAGAAAACAAGTTGTCCTGTGCCACTGGACAACCATGAGGGTAAACCCCTGGTTGTGATATAAATTTAATAAAAGTAATAATTGCAAACAAAACATGGTATTTTCTATTTTTCAGCCAACTAGCCAGCTTTATTTTTTATTAGCCAATCCCCACTAATTTTTTAAGCGGCTAGCTAACTATTCAGCCACTTGTATTAGCAAGCTAGTTATGTGTCTTATTTTCTGACAACTGAAAAGTGTAATCAATGATGATGCCATATTACTGATTACAAAAGTTTTTTTATCATTTAGCTTTTAACTTTTTTTATATATGTTCTGCTACCCAAGACTGAGGTGGTGATTTGTATCGATGTTGCAAACATCAATTTTTTTATTTAAGAAAACTTAATAATGTTGAAGGATTATTTGCATATTATTGTAAATAATAAATTTATTGCTTTGTATGATGTTGAAAGTTTTATTTACAAGCATTCGACTTATAAAAACCCATCAATGTAGCAAATAATTTATAAGATAAATCATGCCTAAAGTAATTTTCCAAAACTCAGTTTAAGAAATTATTTCAGATTTCAACTTTTTTTGAATTTCTGGTTTTCATTTTCTATTTGAACGAAAATATAACAGTTGAACAAATGGTGTTGCAATGGGTTCTCTATTAGCTCCCATCTTAACTAGTATTTTTCTTGGGTTTCATGAACTTACATTGGTTAACAGGTGTCCCTCTTCTATACCAATTTTTTATAAATGGTATGCAGATAATATACTTGCTTTTTTTAGTTCAGAACATGAAGCCCAAGAATTTTTTCAATCACTTTAATAAAAAACATAAAAATTTGAAATTTATGATGGAAAAAGAATAAGAAAACCAGATTGCTTTTTTAGATGTACTTGTTAAAAAATTCTTTTTCAACATCAGTTTATTATAATAAAACTTATACAAGTCTTTTACAAAATTTTTATAATTTCAATCCAACAAATATGTATATGTATAATATTTTTGCTCTTTCTACAAATTCGATCTTATGTGTTTGATTGATGGAACATATAAAATTAATAATACTTGGTTGGGATTTGATAATGACATAAAAAATTAATATATCCATTGATATATCTCTGTAAGTTCTTCTATTTTTAATATTTATTTCAGAGTTTTATTGTAAAATTAAATTTTTTGCTATTATGACATTCAAGACAAGTCAAAGCATAAATGTTTTCCTTTTATATTTATAACAGAAAATTGTATAAATGATATTCCTCCACCATTGCCTCCTCGACAACATGCGAATAAACCTCCAGTAAAACCTGAAAGAACATCATTATATGAGGAAAACCAAACATTAACAAAGAATATCCAATCATTTTCAGGTTTATCTAATTTTTATTTTGATTCGAAAATGTTTAACTTATGGAATAACTAGTGACAACTGAAAAATGAGACTGGATTTAAAGGCACATATCTTTTTTAAGGTATAAGTTAAAAGAAAAATGAAAAATGTTTCACAAATATTTGTATTTTATTTTTTATTTATAAAATCAGTTATTTTCAATTAGACCATTCCTTCACTTTTTCTCCCAGGCTCTCATTATAGACTGAGATGAACTCTGTATGAGCTCTATCTCAACTTTACTTAGACAATACTGGATTCTAGAGTATAATTTTTGAAGATTTGCATGCCAATTGTTCTTGTAGACAAGGTCTTTCATAATAAAAATTTTTTTTTTCAAATATTTTCAATAGGACAATTGGATTCTGGCAGTTTGCAGGGTTATCTGCTTTCTCAACAAAATTCACATTTTTCTTGTTGAGGTACATGATTACTGTTTTTGCATAGTGAGATGACGCCAAATCAGGTTTGAATAAATATGCACCATATGAATAATACTTATCGACAAATGGAATGAGTCTCTTTATTTTCATTGATACTGGAGTGATTTAAATAAGACGTAAGTAAGACTCATCATCCATGATTGTTTCACAATTTTTGAATTTCTGATACAACTGACTGCACTTAGTTCTAGCAACTGATTTTGCTGGTCAGAACATTTTGTAATTGTCGTTTTTTTCTTGGAATAATTTTTGTCTTTTTTTTTGTTTTACTAATGTGTTGCTGAGTACAGTTTAAACATAAGAAACATTAAAAGGTCAAACAAGTTTAAGCCTTATAATGTTTGTCTTTTTTTTAGCCTTTCCTCAACTTCCTTAAACTCTTTGGTAACCAGAATCTCTTTCAGGGTGTTTAATTATCTTGTAGGTAGTACTTTTAGTATACTCTCATTTTTAAAGTCATCATAAGTGAACTTTTAATCAACATTTCTGTAGTTTAAGTAAAATTTATACACACATTTTCTTATCTCTTCTTGTCTTGAATTTTTTTATTCATATTTCTATTAAAAATAAAAACACATAAAGTATTTAAAAAAATAGATTAAAAATACTTTTCAAAACATTTTACCTTTTTACTTTATCTTGAACCTTAAAGAAATTATGTGTCTTTAAATCCAGTCTCTTTTTTCTTTTTTCACTCATTATATTTATACACATAAGTTATATATGTAATGTAAAGCACAATTTGTATATACACATGAATACAAATATGACCCGCAGCAGTTTTTTTCTTGTGAGATAACTTTAAGACATGAAGCAAAATCCAAAATTGTCTTAAATTATGTTATCTCATTCTTTTAATTGAATATCTTGAACACCAATAAAAGCTGGCCTGATTATCTTGAACACCAAAAAAACTTGGCCATAAACTACCCTTGCAGGATAGTTTATGGTTTTTTTTTTATATGTTTTAGTTTTGTTTAGTAAATTAATAAAAGTCAAAATATAAAAATATAATGAAATAATAAATTTTTAATATTTAATATACTTATAAAACGAAGTATTTTATATAATTTGATTTAATTATTTACATGTTTTATCTTAGCTTTATTATTTCTAATAATTTTTGTTTACTTAAATTTTTTTTTTTTAAAAAAGAAAAAAGAAAAAAGGAAAACCTTTTTTTTACCATATCTATCATGTCCAGATAATTCCTGCCCTAACTTCAATCGTCATTTTGTTACAATGGTCTAAATCATGTTTTAAAAGAGCAGACAATATCGATTTGAATTATATTTTATTATTTTAATACATTTATACAACTTTTGAAATATACTGTAAGGTTTTCATTATCATCATTGTCATCATCATCATCACCATTATAATTATCATCATTACCATCAATTATTTTAGAGTCTGAGCTTTGAAGGAGTTGGGTGTTTCCAATATAAACAATTTTATTCATTTTCTTCCCTATGGAACTTTTATATGTTATCTGTAACACTCACTTAAGTCTTTCTAGCTCTACCTTAATCTTTTGAAACTGCTAATTAAGTGCTGATAAAAATGCAGATGAAACTAATCTCTATTTAAGATTTTTATGGCCTATAACTAAACTACATGATTGATAAATACACTGCTTCTTATTGGTTAAGCAATTTTTTAAATAAATCTTTTTCACTCGGTTAATCAATTTTATTCCTTAGTGTGAACCACATTTTATATCTCTGCCTTATTTATAAATCTCTACCATCCAACCTTTTTTTCTAATCATTTAAATTTTACCTTCATAAACATTAGCATAGCAAATATCCAACACTAACTGGCAATAATATTTGACCTTCAATATCTTGTACAATATGCTAGAAGGAGTAGCAGTTTTGTCTAACCAAGCTCTTTGAATTCCTGACTTCAAATCACTAAAAGTTTTATGGCTTGCTGGTACAATAAGCATATTTATTGCTGATAAACTTTCTTTATTCCAAATAAACCCTTTGTTTATTATTTTTTCAAAATGAGCCATTCTCCTTGTTTTTACTTCAACTTAATTTTTTACGCATTTTTTTGTCTAGTTTAAAGCTCTCTGGCAATATCCCTATTTTTTCTAGCTATTTCTTTTACAACTCTAAACGCTGCATTTCTTTTGTTCTCTTAATCTAACAGCTTGTTAAATAACCTCTGCTTATACAATCAAGCTTTATATGCAGCTGGTTTTGCCTTGCCCTTAACCAAGTAAAATACTTTTATTTTTTAATTTTTCTAGATTTTTGACTGAAATTTTCAGACTGAAATAACCAAAAATATTTATTTGTTTGTGACAATAACAAGTCTATTAGTAACAAATTATTAATCTTGACTCGATTTTATCAACAGCTTTAGAGTGAGTATGAAAATGACTTTCTTTGAGTATGAAGAAGTTGAAAACTCATTTCAAAGCTTAAAAAAAAACAAATATATTAGTAGCTAGCATGATGAGTATTAGCTAGATTGTTATCTTTTCACTAAAGTGAAAGTCAAATCAATTGTTGAGTTTTCAAGCATTGCTCTTTAATTTTATCTTGGTATCATTTAACTCCTGCATTTTCTCTACTTCAATATCTGGCTCTATCAAAGTCTCATTAGTTCGCCATAGTTTTCTAAAAACAATTCAAGAATGTTTCATTGCACTGCCAACTTTGTTGGAAAAATTTATGGACTAACTTTGAATTGTTTTCTGTTAACTCTTGGATTTTGTCAATTTTGATATTTCTTTTTGTGACTTGTAACAATATTACAAATTTCATGTGTTGCTCTTTAAATTTTATTGAGACTTGAAATACTTTTGATGACATTACTCATGACAAGGTTCTAAGCATATTATATATTATACACCCATTTAACGATGTGCCTATAATTTTTTTTTTTTTTTATTTAACATTTGTATCTTAGTTGCAACTTTAAGTCTATGGTCAGACATAGCAGCATCAATGTTATAACATTAACCATGTGCTTCTTTCAATCTCAAACTCATCCTTAAAGAAAATCTTTGAGAATATGTACTTTATCTTCAGTAACAGATCCATATCAATGGAATTTGCTTGCTTATAGTTAATCATCAACGCATCAGAACAGCCATAACAATCAGCTGTTCTGTATTGGAAACTTGTTTTATTTATAAAAATGGTGGCAATATCTGCTGATTGTATATTTTAAGAATTTTCAATCTATGGTCAGACATAGCAGCATCAATGCTATAACATTATGGAAGATACAAAAGTTGTGGTCGTAACCACAACTTTTGTAGCCTCTAGTCAAGGTGGGTACAAAAGTTGTGGTTACAACCTTTTCTTAACTCTTTAACTCTGAAACACGAACCTTGACAAACAAGGCCTCTGTATGGAGAAAGTAGTCGAGTGCAGTACTACCAGGGACATGGTGGGGATTAAACTCAGAATTTCTTGCTTATTAGGTGAGTCCTCTACACCACTACTCCATATTACAAAGACTAGGAGAAGATAACTCTGATTTAAAATACCCACTATCTTAGGGCTTCAATTAATCAATGATCAAGTCTTTTCTCATCATTTCTTAGTCAAAATTGTTGCTATTTATGACTTTAATGCTCACTACCCTGAAGCATATGGCTCTTGTACCACTGACCCTGCCTTCTCTAAAGCTAAAGTTTTTTATATTTCTCAATCTCTTACTCAAACTAATTTTGTGACTCATTTTCCAGACAACTCTAATAACTTCACCACTATATTTTCTCTGACCCAATCTTGTGTTCAGTTTTTTTTATTCTCTTTCTTATTATTTAGATCATGCTATGATCTTAATAAAAATTTTTATTTTGTACTTCGTCTATTTAATTTTCACACTATCAATGCGTTAAGTCAAGCTTCAGTTTACCCTATAGTTTTATCTTTCTTGTACAGCTACTTTATTTGTATCTTAACCCTGACCATTATTTGTTATCAGTTCTTCTGCAAGAGTAACTATCTGGAGATCAAAAATACTTTTATATAGAAATTCGTTATATCTTTATCTCAGATATTGTCATGAAAAACTTGTGAAAAATCTTTAGCTTTTCTAATTGCAGTAATAAAGTTGTCCTCGTTAAACAACACCTTCATTTCAAGTAACTTCTGGGGTGACACAAAGTTCCATTATTAGTCTTGTGTTGTTCTTCAATTTTGTTAATGAACTTCCTGATAAACTTACTAAAAACGCCTTATAAATGTTGTTGGACCTGTTCTAACTTTTATGCTTGAGGTTTTATCTCAGTGTTGCCGTTGTCAAAAAAAAAAGAAGTCTTCTTTTCAAGCAACAACGATATATTATTAACTTTTATTAACTTTGGTATTAAAATTAATAGGGGATAGGGGATATCTAGCCCCTTGACTAAATTTACTAGTCAGCATAATGGACACTGGGTTAGGGCTAGATATCCCCTATCCCCCTCCCCTCCTTTCCAGGACAGCCCTGACTGCTGGGTAGCATTATCAAATGATGGGTAACTGTCATTTGATAGGGCTAATGACACTGATGAAGATTTTCAAAAAGTAGTAAAGTATAAAATTACTTTTGTTTATTTTAAAATAACTTTGTTATTAAAATTGTTATTTGGTATTGATTGTATCATTTGTGATCATTAAATTTTTTTACTTATACAATTATATAATTTTTATTCAAATACATTTTTTGTATTTGTTATACTATTTATCTAATATATTATGCTATTTTATAATACAATTTAAAAACTGATATCTTGCGCAAAAAAAATTGCCAATTAATAAAAAAAAGAGTTCTATTCTTTATATAATGTGTAGTATTTTAAACTGAAAGTTTGTACTGCTAATATAATGCAAGTTCAACAGGAATATTTTTGTTAGTTTTTAAAGCTTCTAAAAAATATATGATTTATCGGTTTTTTTTACTGTAAAACTATATAAGAAAAATATTTTGCTATAGTTGCCAAATTGAAGGCGTTTAGGTATGCCTAAAAGAAAAAATTAGAACAGAACTTTAGTTCTAAATGAACTGTTCAGAATTTTGAACTAAAGTTTTTTGAATGAACTTAACTGTAGTGTAACTGTGTTTTTTAAAAAGATACGGATTCATCAAGTGAAGAGGAGAGCACAGAGGATATGGTTGACTTCGCAAATATGTATGGTGAAGAGGTGGAAGAAGAGTTTACAGAACTTAATCATATAAGTGATAAATCTGATTATGAAGATGCAACAGTTACTAATTACAATCCGTTAAATAAATATGTGCAAAACTCAAATGCTTTTATTAATGAAAATGAGCAATATAAAAAAGTAACAGAAAACCAAGAGTTGACTAACAAAGATGATTCAGTGCATAAGGCAAGGTATTTACCCTCTTGTTTTTAATCAAAACTTTTTATCAAGTTTTAATAATTTACATAATAGTTTTCTGACTTTGTTTACATTTTGAATTTATTCTTATATTCTTCCCTCCTGTTTATAAATAATGACTCAAACTTTTTAAAAAGTTGTTTATTACACTATTAACAATGTTTATTACACTATTAATGTTGTTTATTACACTATAACATATAAAAGTTGTTTATTACACTATTAACAAATTTTCAACATCACTTTTCAACGCAATATATTAAACTTCCAACATCACTTTTTAACACAATACATTAAACTTTCAACATCACTTTACAACACAATATATTAAATTTTTAACATCACTTTTTAACACAATGTATTAAACATTCAACATCACTTGGAACACGCATTACACAATGAACAATATTAAACTTTCTCCAACACTTGTAACAGTGCATTACTCTATCAACAGCATTAGAAAGTTAAATTTTTTTTCAAATAAAATATCAGCATCACATTTTAATTAGCAATTAGCTTATTATTTATTATTATTTATTTTTATTATTATTTTTATTATTATTTATCTTATTTATTTATATTATTAATTATCAAAAAACACTCCACTCAATCTTTATAATTAAAGTCATACTTTTAAGTTACATAATTTTTATAATTTAGTGTTTTTAATTTAGTTTTAATTTTAATTTTATTTTGTGTTATAATCAATATTACCTTAATGACTGTGTTTTTTTAAAAGGAAAGAACAAGAAAACGAAAATACGAATCTTCGAAAAAGAGAAATTCAGGAAAAAAATATAAAAACAAAAAAACTTGTTGAAACCATAAAAAATAATATGAAAAAATCAGAGAAACAACAATATAATAAATGGTGGCTTTGCGTTGGTTCATTCGCTGGATTGTGTTCTGTTGTTATTATATTGTATTCTTGGCTTAGCTGATTGAATGAGCAGAGGGCGGTTACTAGGTCTTTCTATTTTTAAATCTATCATAATTTATTAATACAAATGTGATTAATTTACATCATACACTAGAATAAACTATTTTTAAGACATGTTTTAAAGTTTTTCACTTTTATTAAATACTATAAGTAATATTCAATTAAAGAAGATATCTTGTGTTACCAAGGACTATATTATGTTGATTTCTTATTGAAAATATTTATGATATTTTTATATTATTAATGCAATTTATTGGTTATTTGTTTTATGAGTTTTATGAGAAATGAACTCTTCTAAAATTAAAAAGTTTTCTTTTTTTTAAATAAATTTTCTAAAATTAGAAATTTGTTTTATACCCTAAAAGTGTGTTTTTTTATTCACCTTTTCAATGAATCTTTAACAAACGTTTTTTTATTTCTTTTATTTTTATTTTATTTTTTTTGATCAATCAAAGTTTTTTTGATCAGATTTTTAAACTATTTTAAGAAACTTTTTTTAACATGTATATAGCATATGATTTTGCTTTTTACTAGAGTGTTATGTCAAAATTTTGCAGTTTAAAATACCTGTTTACAGTAAAAAGTTAGCAGTTTAAAATATCTATTTGCAGTAAAAAATTTGCATGTTTGAAATATCTGTTTGCAGTAAAATTCTGTTAAATGTTACCTAAAGGTTGTAGTTGTTGTAAAAAAAAAACTTTTATGTAACGGTTTCAAATATTTCCTATTGTATGTCATTTTATTTGTTCTTGCTTTTATTTTTTACATATTACCTGGAATCTTGAGATTTTGTAACATTTTTTTAATTTAAAGGTTTTTTTACCATTAATATATCTGCATTAATTTAATTAATGCAGATATATTGGTGCCTTCATTAGATTTATATCAAGCAATTCTAATTAGGATTCAACATGTTTTATTCAATTTAGGTTCAATGTGTTTTATTCAATTTAGGTTCACATGTATTACTCAATTTAGATACAACATGTTTTACTCAATTTAGACTCAACATGTTTTATTCAATTTACTTTCAGTATTATCATATTAATAATATTATAATACACATATAATTGAATACATAAACATCTAGTTTTAGTATTAATATTTGTGTATTTATTCTATTATATGTGTAATTTACATAATGATATAACATCTTGTATTTTTTTTAGTCTTTTGCATATTAAGTTAAATATGAAAGGAAATAATCAACATTATAATATTTCCAAGGATTATAGTAGAAAGCGTATGCACCAATCCAACACCAATGAAATCAAAGCTAAACAATCAAATGTTGGTAACACTGTTGTTACATCTGAAAACCTACAAGAACAGAGAAAAAACTTGCCAATATACTATGGTCGCAAGGAGTTAATTAAAGCTGTCATGCATAATGACACAGTTATATTAATGTCTGAAACAGGAAGTGGAAAGACTACACAGCTACCTCAGTATCTGCTTGAAGCCCAGATGGCTAGATTTGGTAATAACAGTGTTCAGTATAGGCATAAAAGTTTTAGCAATTAAATTTTGTTGCAGACAATAAAAAAAATAATTTTTAACTTTGTTTATCTTAAAATATATTTATGGTATTTAGGAATAATAGTGTGCACACAACCACGAAGAGTTGCTGCTATAACTGTTGCTGATCGAGTTGCAAAAGAAAAAAATACTTCACTTGGTGATCTAGTTGGATATACTGTTCGATTTGAAGATGTAACTAGCCCTAAAACATTATTAAAATATGTCACAGATGGAATGCTTCTTCGAGAGTCTCTTCTGGATTCTTTATTAACAAAGTATTCTATAATTATTCTTGATGAAGCACACGAGCGTTCAATTCACACAGATGTTTTGTTTGGAATTGTGAAACATGCGCAATTAAAGCGCAAAGAGAAAAACATGAATAAACTTAAAATAGTTATCATGTCTGCTACACTGCAAGCTGATAATTTTGTTAAATATTTTACAGGAGCTCATGTTTGTTATGTAGAAGGAAGGCGTCACCCTATTAAAATTTTTTATACAGAAGAAATTCAAAAAGATTATTTGCATGCTTCTCTTGTTTCTGCTATTCAAATACATAAAGAAAATCCTTTAGGGTGAGTTTTTGTTTATTAAAAATATAATATTAATTTAAAAATTATCATTTACTTTATGAAAAATCTTTTTAAAGTCATCTAAAAGTTTTCTGAAATTCTTTTTTAAATGTAGTTTACATATTCTTGTTATTTGTTTAGATTTTTTAAACTTTTTTTTGTTTCTTTTTAAAAAAACTCTCCTTGAGTTTAATTTTTTATATATATAAATATAATTTTTAGTGAAGATATATTGGTTTTTTTAACTGGTCAAGAAGAAATTGAGATGTTAGCAAACTTAATAAAAGAAATAGGAATGTTTCTGCCAGAAAGTAAGTTATTGTTATTATTTATTACTTTTAAATGATATAAATTGTTTTTTTTGTTTGTTTTTTTAATTAAAAAGTTTTTTAAAAATGAGTTTCTATTTTTTTGACATTATCACAAGTTTATTTGCTGATGCACAGCTCTGATCTTTAATTTGCATTGAGCTAAATACAACTTGCTAGTATTTTTATCTCATTGTTTATTATTTTATTTAAACATTTTGTCATATCAATTTATTCATTGTCAATACTTTTGTTGTTATTGTTTGATCATTTTTTTTTAAATATAGCAAAAAAACATCTAGTAGACATTAGGCATATTTGTAATATTTAGATTGTGTGAAACTGTCTGCACATATAAAATATTTAGAATGTGTGAAGCTCTCTGCGCGTGTAAAATATTTAGATAGTGTGAAACTGTCTGCACATATAAAATATTAAGCTTGGGTGAAACTGTCTGCATATAATATATTTAGATTGTGTGAAACTCTGGACGTGTAAAATATTTATAGGTACGTGACATAAAATTTTAAATTGATTAAACACTAGATTGTTATATATCCTTGGAAAGGTCTTCAATTCAGTATTTTAAAGGTGTGAAAATTATTAAAATTGAACAATTTTACAAAAACTTATGGCATTTTAGGTACCGAATTTTTGGTATATGGATTTCTTAAAAAACTGTGATCAAATTTTTTTTTTTTTAACTAATAAAGTCAAAACTTGGTCTATTCTTATCGAAATGCAAACAACTTGGTATCAAAAGAAAGTTCTACCAAAGAGCAATATGTAAATACAAAGGGTGTCTGAAAGACGCTAGAGGGGCGTTTACAAATTCCTTTATTATATTGAATAATGTAGATTTTTGAAAAGAAAATATTATTATCAAATTAAAATTTATAATTTTTATTTGTCTTTTATAATATAATCTAACAGGCTACTGTCAAATATGATTTAGACACTTTAGGTTGATTGAATTGATTGATATAAGTCTTTTTGACTTCGGGCGCTAGCTACCCAATATTAAGTTTATTACTTGGTATCTTCATGCATTACTTTAAGTTCATTACTTTGTCATCTTCATGCTTTAATTTTATAATATTATTTAATTTATACTAAAATATAATGAATCAAATCCTATTTCTAACTACCTTGACTCGCTTATTTCTTTTTCATTACATCCTGTTATAATTCTACCAACACGTATAACAGCTAAATCACAAACACTTATTGATAACATTTTTATAAACTTCAATTAACCTGACCAAATCTCTGGCAATCTTACTATTTCAATATCTGATCATATGGCTCAATTTATCTGTATTCCTAGAAAAACTAACCACCCTAAAAAAAGTATATCTTACAGACGATGCTTCAAGACCTGTAACAAAAATATATTTATTGAAGATGTTTCCAATATTAACTGGGATCTCTATATTAAAAAAGATGATGATGTAAATCAATCTATCAGTTTTCTTTTAAAGACATTTGAAAACTTATTAGATCAGACATTTGAAAACCTATTAGATCATACAAAAAACTATATATATATATATAGTTTTTTGTATGGAGATCAATATGGATATTTGATCTCCATACAAAAAACTAACTAAACAGCAAATTAAACTTAAATCAAAACCACGGATCACCAATGGCATACTTAAATCTATTTCCATTAAAAACAGACTATATAAAAAATTCACAAAATGTAAAGATATCAGTACTAAAAATAAACTGCTCTTTAAATTTAAATTTTATAGAAACAGAATCAGCAATCTACTAAAAGTTAGTAAAAAATCCTATTACACAACCTATTTTAGTAAAAACTTAAACAATATTAAGAATACATGGAAAGGGATAAAAGAAATCATTAATATAAAACCTTCCTTCTATAATTCAACTCTCAATCTTAAATTGAAAGAAAATATTATCACAGATCAAACTACTGTATCGAATATGTTAAACAACTTTTTTGTTACTATCCAAAACAAACTTCAAAAAAAAATCCTTGCCAGTTTGTCTGGAATCACCAACACAAAAACCTACCTCTTACCTTCAACAATTTTTTCCCAAAAAAAGCAAATAACCGTTACTATCTTCGATCAATTGATAATCTGAATCTTGCAGTCTTAAAACATCGTTCTGTTACTTATGGGTATAAGTCCATAAAAAAGCAAAATGAATGGAGACCTAAAAGCTCTCCATTCAATCTATATTTTTAAGAGTAACCTATTCCATTCTTTCCTAATCAAATACAGTTAATAAATCCAAAGATATGTATTTGTGTTTAAGTGTTTGTGATACACACATGTGAATAAGTGGTGAGTGTATATGTATGTATATATAAGTGTGTATGTGTATATATATGTATGTGAGTGTGTGTGTATGCGAATATGTGTTGGTGTATATAATATATACATATATAATATTATTAAATGTGTGCATATGTATTCATGTTTGTATATGTGTATGTATGAGTGTTATGTTATGCTATGTTTGTATATGCGTATGTATGTGTGTATATGTATGTGTGAATGTATATGTACGTGTGTGTATATACGTTTATTTGTGTATAGTATATACGAATCTACATATATGGGTGTATATTATGTTTGTATACAATTAATGTATACATACCTGTATTGAATGCAGGGGGATATAAGTATATATGTTTATATGTATTTGTGAACGTAAGTTTGTATGTGTGTTTGTATGTGTGTATTTGTATGTGTCTGTATATGTGTGTATTTATGTGGCTAATACTAAATTACTAGTATTTTTATTTTTTTTTATGATTATTGTAATTATTTTTATTTCTGTCATTTTATTTTTATTATAATCACTGTACTTTTATCATTGTATTGTTATTACTGTTACAACTACAACTTTTATTATTATCTTTATTAGTATTTTTACTCCTTCAACTTTTAATGTTCGTTTTGTTACTGCTGTGGATGATTAATATTACTATTTGCATTAATATATTTATTAGCTTTTATTTACAAGGTTTTTACTTAAGATTAGTACATGTACTATTTGTAAGGCCCTATTTGATTTGGGCCCAGGGTGGCTTCGACACCAAACCAAGAAATCACTCCAAATCAAATTATTTTTATTTAGTCAAAAACCATTAAAAAAAAACAAATTTACAACTTCATTAAGATATATCTACCAAGTTCTTCCTTTTTGCGAGCTAAAAAAATACATTTTAATAAAACATTAGCAACATTATAGCATTTAGTTCATAAATAATTAGATAATTCTAATTTACCAATCTGCTGCTTTATCGCTACTAGAATAAAAGTTAATTGAATTCAATATTTTTTTTTTTGTTAAAATATTAGAAAAAACAAATCAAATCAAAGACAAATACCTTTTTTAACTTCTAATTCTTTTTTGGCTAAATACACATAGATTATTTTAATACATTTAGTAACAAGATTTTTATACAAGTTATACAAAATATGTTTCATATCTTAAAACATACCTATTTCATTATCTTCTGCTTCTAAATATAAATAACTATAATTAAATCTTGTTGATTTCAAATCAATGAATTTATCAGTAAAAAAAAGATTGAAAATAAAGAAAAGATGAAGAAAACTAGTAATAAACTATTTACATTGATACACAATTCATACTGACTAACAAAAATATGCAAAACAAAAATGCAAAGACAGGCATAAGGGTAAATCTTCATAAATGTGAACTTAAAAATTTTACAAAAAAGTAAAGTGCATACAACGACCGAGTAGTAAAATGAGTAATAAAGTAATTGAGAAGTAAAGTACATACAACGACTGACAGATATAGAAATGCTATCATCAAAATTTACATGCTTTAGATTTTGGTTAGGGAAGGCTTTACATTAATTTTCTTATATTTATTAAAGTTAAAACTGTTTGGCTCACATGCCAGAGCACACTTACACACTGATACTTCACACTTATAGAGGTTCACAGTTATGAAATTCATTTTGAGGCAGTTGTGCACTTATAAATTTAGCTTAATTTATTGACCCTTAGGCAATTCTTCCAGTGTCTCTAGGTCTAAATAAAAACAAATATGTAGATTAACTGATGTTTATAACAGTCATCAAAGCTACTTTGGTAAAAATCTGAATAAACAAATGCCATATTATCAATTGAAGTGCATATATGATTTTCATAATCATTTGCTGTTACTCCTGGTAACTGATCTAGAGCAATAATTAGACATTTATCTTTAGATGTTAGGTTAATACTATTTATGTGGACACCTTGTGTTGTAGCATTAAATCCAAGAGTAAGATTATTATTATGCATAGCCCACTCAGCTGCTTGCAAATCCAAAATACTGCCAAGTTCACGAGCCATTTGCTTAACAGTACTGCGATGAGGAATACTATTAAAAATAACACCCATTTAATGCCCTGTTTCGCTCATAAGATATGGAATGTTACCTGTTGATACATTACGTATCAACATATTATAAATTATCATTCTTATTTGTAATGAATATGTTTTTTTGTCTTCTGGCATAATTACATTTTTTTCTCCTCAATCTGAAGCAAATCAAAAGCAATTACCAAACTAGCAATTATCCTATTATTTGTCAAAACAGCAGCATTATGCTTTTTTTCAGCTTTACGTGATGAACCTGCTCACTGTAATTTTTTTTTTTTTTTTGAGATCACATATTTCTGCCCTTAAAGCTTTAATTATTTTGTCTTTTCGTTCAACATTTTGTAACACGGAATTGATTTGGCATGCTGTTTAATTTAGCTTTTAATAGTGCTGTCTTGCTTCAACGTTCTATATAAGAGCTAGCTAACCGAGAAGACAAGTAAGATAACCTATCTTTTAGCTTTTGTTTTATAGGGCTTAATTTCTCTCTAAAGATATATTTAGTAACATTTCGTTTGCTATAACCTGCAGATGTAGATGGCTCATAATTTAAAGGATATGAAACAATTATAAATGTTTAGTGACTTGTTGAAATGTTTTGATTTAACGAGCCATTATTTT